CTGGATTATTTCTTTATTTCTTCTTAAATCATACTTATGATGTTCAGGTAGGGGTTATGAAGTCAATGCTAACAAGTAGTTTGTGTCTAACAGACGCGAATCATCAGGATTATGAAAAATGTTGATGAGAGCAATTATCCGTTAAAAATAATTGTTAACAATTTCGAAATACTAAGAAATAGGTCAAGAGGAAATCAGTATTTAGGATTTAGACAACTCTTCGCCCAGGTTCATAATGCTACAACCTGCTAGCTTTAGAAAAAGATGGGCGAATCATTGAGGAAATTTAACTTCATGATTATGTATAAAGAGATACTAAATCTTTTGTCGGTCATGCCTTATTTAGGCGAATCTTCAGCCACCCTCTGTAGATCAGGTTGTGATATAGTTTTGTGCTCATGTGGTAGAGTCTATGTAAGGGTGAATTGTCAGCTCATGCAGAAGAGCCTATCAGAACATAAAATCGCCTGCAAATTTTTATGTACTAAGAAGTCGCCGGTGGCTGAACATAAGCTCACTACAGCAAACTAGAGAAAATTGTCTATAACCCAACATTTTGCAGGATATGGTGACTTCACAGCTAAGTGGAAGATCAGAGAGCCGATTGAAATTAACAAAATGAATAAGAAGAACGAGGGTAGGAAACTGAACAAGAACTAGCTATGGCTGCCTGACAGAATTAGAGAGAGATAGAGATAGACAAGGCGAGGGAACAGAGGAGCCACCGAGTAAGGAGATAGACTTGACTAATCTGAAGTCTGGTTTTGGACCCAAGATTGCAAACTAACTCGTGAGTATGGCATACATACAGTTCACGCCTATCCGCGAAGATAAAACAAGTCTCAAAATTACAGGATCACACGTTAATTTATTTACATGAAAAAACGGTGACCACATCCACTCTCTTTTCTGCATCAACCTCACTCGAATACATGTTTGTAGGACAAGCGTAAAGCAATATGAGATGTATTCACCCTATTTCGTTTAAGGTGATGAAGGACTGGTAGTAGAATTTTCCCACAACGCTATGAGTAGAGCTGCGGTTTCCATTGCATTTCACATAGCCTTGCTTTCCCAAAAGTTGTTCTCATCTAACTGTTCGCTCTACCATACGATTTGTTCTCGCATTAAATGACTAATGTGCCTTGTCATAGTGCAAGCGTCATATCTGTATGTGATTATGCTATGCTGGCTGGGCAGTAGTCCTCTGGTGTATGCATAGGGTATGAAGACTCAAATGTTGTCATGCAGTTGTGTACTGTTTTATGGGCGTATATCACATAAACACACATATCATCGTGGGAAAATTCTACAACTAATCCTTCTCCACCTTAAACAAAATAGGGTGAATACATCTCATATTAATGATGTACTGGTAGTCTTGAAACTCTACTTACATTCGAAAAATAAGCATAAAGCAGCCAAACATCTTATCAAATGTCCAATTAAGTAGTAGGTATAATTTCAGCCGTCCACCTTTCTTGGTTTAGGGTTTTTAGTCATTATTCATAAATATTGGTTTCTGAATCTGAAGATGTTCATCATATGACGGACGAAGGCAGGAAAGTAAGCAGAGGTCTTCTTCGCACAATGTAACAGTCACAAGGCCAAGGCAACAATCCTTTGGTATCCGGTGAGGTCATTTTGGGAATTGTTGAGCTCACTTCCATTTCGAGCGAAAGTGTTTGGTGAATAGATTGGAAGTTGGATTCCACCAGAAGACGATGGCAGATTCCTCTTGACCAGCTGTCGATATGGAAATAAGCTCAACAATTGTAAAACAATAGATTCCTCGAAACCCAACTTTTCTTGGCAATTTAGAAATCCCTTCGACCCGCCTTTTCAAGCTAAATGCAAACTAGGCCAACATCAAATTGTAACTTTTTGCTTGAATAAGGAATTAATGTGAATTCAATACCTATTTGATGAGCTGCTTCCCGAGCCCAGATTACACTTTATGCCAGGCTCAAAGCCCGTCAGCTAGTTCGCAGGTTTGCTTATTCAAGGCTTCACTGCCAAATGGGCTTAGGGCAAGCAGCGCAGAGGTCCCTTGCTACATGCTTTTAGTGCGAATATGTCGATGCCAAATACCTGCAAGTTCGATGCCTCTTTCTATTAGTTCCAGCCAAATTTATAAAAGCTAACATCTTCAAGTTGAGGAACATAGACAATAGCACAAAAGTGTAATATACAAAAAGAATACTGTGCCCATGATTCGGGTAGAAATTTCGCGAAGGAGCCCCAAATCAAGATTGCAATAATTTTGTCTTTGCCAAGAATTCAGCTGCTAGATTTAGTGATAGATACCAACAAGTCTCCATGGCAATGTAAAGTTTTGAGTTGATAAGCAGCATCGGTTAACTGGGATTTCAGCTGCAGATAGCTAATCTGCATGTATTTACTTTAAAGGAAAAATTGAGATTCTACTAAAACGCAACTCTTCGACCTTATGCATGGTGATTACTCACACGTTTGATCAAAATTCGCCGAGATTCGTCACATTTAAAGACCTTTTCTTCAGCTATCAAGGGCACTTTCTTAGTTCAAATGTGCCCTCAAGATTGAAAATGTTTGTCTCTTCCTAGTTCCATTCTACATGCTGGGATGAGGTCGATGATAATGCACTTAAAAAAACCTTCTGATGACGAATTATCCTTAAAAGACCCCGTAGATGACATTAACCCAGGGTGTCGACAAGGTCTTATACTCCGATCGGCTGGGAAAGCTATTTAGGTTAACATCTCTTACTTCTCTTTTTATGCGAACTATCAATGCAATGAACGATGAATAATTTCGATGGTCCCATTTAATAAGGCTCACCGCATCCATGCTCATCACTGCCATCACCGCAGTCATCGTGACCATCGCAGCGGACGTACCGTGGCTTACAGACGCCAGGACGCTGGAATGTGGAGCCGCAGGTAAATTTGTCAGTTGGACAGCCTGAAAAGCAAATTAAGAGAAATTTAAAGAAAAGTAAATTCTATATTGGCGCAAGCTGATTTTTTCATCAAACTCCTCAAATGATGACTCATTTGTGAATATCCATCCATCTGTGGAGGAGTTCATTGTCTATGAAAGTGATCCCCAGAAAGTATGGTGGCAGATTTTTTCTCTCAACAGTCGTTTGCTATTAATACAATGATAAAGTGTGTTGATTCGTTAGCAGCCTAAAACATTTGTAAAAATGAGATCCAGATCAAACGAGCTCCGTCAAGTGACTTGCTAACTGAAGGCTCAGACCGCTTTTAATGAAGTCTAAGGAGGATGGCCAGGGGATTATAGGACAAGACATGCAAGCAAATGAGTGTATTTTCAAACTAATCAGACCTCTTGCATTCAATTAAGCTTTTCTAGACTACCAAGAGGGTTCCTCGTAGATCCTGAAAAATAAAAAAGATGAGCCAAGGAAATTTTATGTTTACACGCAACTTTGATTTGTGAAACCAATCATGAAGGAGATTTTATGTATCGTTTGCTGACCTGGACACTCAGCCTCGTCAGAGTCATCGCCAGATCCGCAATCGAAGGTACCATCGCAGACCTGATGCTTGCTTATGCATAGTCCACTTTTATGGCAGGAGAATTGATGGACCATGCACTTGTCTGAGCCGCGGGTTTCAGAAGCCATGAAAGATGGAGCAATAATTATGTAAAATTTCAATGTTTTACAAATGCTAAGTGAAACTAATTACGCAACTGAATAGTCACACATATACACTTGCCAAAGACAAAAATTAATTGAATCTATCAGTGCTTTATTCTAGATGTCAGGCTAACGGCACAGAGGACCTCCAGAGAATGCAGCTGGAGCTTTGAAGCATTGTCATCTCTTGGCCTTCCTTGGACCGGAGATATTTTTTCATTCAGTAAGACCTAAGCTTTTGCATAGCACTAGTTACCCTGCAGGGGAACTACTGGGATAGAAAAAAAGTAGCTTTAGAAGTGGTCTAACCTGATTTTCACAACTTGGCCATGTTGTCATGGCGACTTAGTTTGACTCACCTTGTCAGAAGTCATCTTCTATAATAGTTATCATAATTCCTAGCTTTGGACTGTGGATTTGATACATTCCGAGGTTTAGGAATATGAAACATGGTAATGCAAAAAGTTAACTTTTCTCCATACGGTTATTGTTGCCGCTGATTAACAGAACACATGTGAAGCCAAGACAGGCATCTCGAAATTCACATTTTTATAATGGGATTGTAGTCGTTAGGCAAAATTTTAGTTGCCACAACAATCAACGAATTTTCTAGATATATAATGAGTATATCTATAGACTCGTAATAGACCTTGTATAATAAATGTGAAGAAAAGTTGGG